CACGGACGAGTACCTGAAGGACAACGTGGCTCTGGCTCTGGAGCTGCTCAAGTTCAAGGAGTTCATTGGCCGTGAGGAGCCTGACGTTCGCACATAGATGGAGCATCATGTTAATAACCACAGTATTGAGTAGCTAATAAACGTTCATAATCATTTCATTCATCTCCACTATCCATTATTCTGTAGATCCCAACTATCCTATCCTTAACATTAATATTATATTATCCCTTCCTGCCAACAACAGCCCCATTGAACATGTGTAAATCCAAATCATACTAGTCATAACATCATAACTAACCCCCACCACTCACTCACTCACACTCCAACTACAACAACCCCCCCGTCTTCTCCCCCCACCACTCCCTCCACTTGACCACTTTCTCCTCCCTCCTGGCCTCCTCCGCCGCAAACACAACCGCATGACTCCTCACCGCCTCCTCCAAATCACATCCCACAAATCGTCTCTGCGCCTCCCGCACCCCAAACCCCTTATTCACCACCGCATCCACCGCATCCACGAAACTCCTCGCCAGACCATAATCCCCGCCGCCATGCGCCTTCTCCTCCTCTGGCGGACGCTTCGGCACCGTAATCGTCGTGGTTTCCCGCGTCTGGAACGAGTAAATGGTGATGGTGCGGCTGTCGTAGGAGATCTCGCCGAGGGTACCGTAGATGCGGCCGCGGCGTTCACATTGTTTCTCCGTGGGGGCGATCATGTGGAAGAGGGCGGTTTTGGGCGCCTCGCCATCCCAGGTGATGGTTACGGTTTGGTCGTCGCAGACGGTGTTGTCGGATTCGTAGACGCAGCGGCCGTACCAGGGGCGGGAGTGGATGGCTTCAAGGTCGGTGGTGGTGGGAGGATAGTTTTCTGCGAGGCGGGTGAGGAGGTGGGATTGCGCGAGGTCGATGGATTCTTGAGTCAGGGGGGTGTCTTTGTCTTTTCGGGGTGGGGTGATGATATCTTCGATGTCCTCGCACACGATGTTCACCGGCCAATCGATGTCGCCTTTCGCGACGTGCATGTCGTTGTAGATCCGGACGGCGCTGTACACGCAATCGCGCTCTGCGGGGCAGGACAGACAGTTGGTGGCGTCCCCTGCCGCGGGGGGTTTGCGGGGTTTGCGGAATTGGGTTAGGGAGCCCGAGGAGGTGATTGTTCGTGGGTGATGGGGTGTGGTTTCTGTGTCTGTGGGAGGGCTGGAAAGTAACCACATGATGAAGTCGATGTCGTGGCACGACTTCGTCAGTAAGGACCCGTCCCCGTTGGGGGTCTCGCGGCGCCAGTTGCCGCGCACATAGCTGTGCGAGAAATGCCAGAAGCCGACGGGTTCGGTGTGTTCGAGGGAGACGATGTCGCCGATCACGCGGTCGAGGAGAAGGAGTTTGCGGAGGAGGATGTTGTGCGGGCTGTAGCGGAGGACATGGCCGATGGAGAAGATGTTGGTGGAGAGGTTGGGGGTGAGGGCGCGGTAGACGGAGAGACAATCGTCCAGGGACAGGGCGAGGGGCTTTTCGCAGAGGATGTGGAGACGGAGGGGGGCGATAGCGTGGAGGATCTCGACGTGGGTGGAGTCGAGGGTGCAGATGAAGACCCCGTCGACGCCGACACGGGGGTCATTGTTGGATTCGCGGCGCTGCAGCTCCCATTGCAGCCATAATCTCCAGTCGGGGAATTCCTGGCCGTCTTGGGGAGTGCCGTGCTCGCCCCAGATGTAGGAATGGCCGAGGTGTCGGCGCTTGAAGGGGTGGGGTTCGGCGACGGCGTGGATCGTGCCTTGGGTCGCAGTGGTCACGGCTCGGGCATAGGCGGTGCCGCGGGATCCGGCGCCGATGATAAGGAAGCGGAGGAGTCTGGGGGTGGGGGTTGTGGGAAGAGAGACTGTAGAAAGGGTGGGTTCTTTCATGGTGAGTTGATTGAGGGGATTGAGGGGATTGAGGGGAGGAGGAGTACTATGGTAGGGAGGATCGCCGGGTGCGGATGACAAGCCGCCTCGCTGGCAGCGGCAGCTTATGTCACTGGCTGGCAGCATCAGGTACTTTATACTTATGTAACCTCATCCATATAACTAATACTAACTAGCTACATGGTAAGGAAGATCTTATCGATGCACTACTAAATGGTATTTGTCGAGAGATTATGGAATTGGAAGGATAGATAGTAACAGCCGAACGGTAGGTCTTATCACACCGCCAATATTAATTTATCATGCAGGTATATCTGACAATCCTGACTAGATTGGTTGATATTCATCAAAAACAGCTCGGGTATGGACCAGAATTATGGCGCCAGAATAGCGGATATTTGGACTTTGTTCTAGATGATCGCAATAAAGCCTATTGACGGGCGTATGTTGGCCAAGCCAGTAATCCCATTCAATGAATATCTCAGCATGTGAGAGGTATACGCAATGAGAATCGTGATAACTTGCATCATTATATTATATGGAAGGGGGCTCCATTCAGATCAGCTAATTTTATCCGGTTGTGGTCAATACCATATATCGCCATGGACCTACCTGAGATGCAGCTGATTTGCCAGAATATTCTTGAAATTGGAATGTGTCTTGCTTTTCAATCTCTCCCTCGGTCAGGTTTAAATCCAATATTTGGAGAAGATGTGGACAGCCCTTACGCATGTGTGGGACTCAACATTGTGTCGCCTTTGTTTCAGGGATTGAGTTTATGAAAAGAGGCCCGCCAGCATTTTATCAGGCAAACAGCAGACTCCCCGGACCCTGAGATTCAGCTATGGGAGGGGTTTCGATCAATGGACAGAGCGAAGGAAGACAGACTGAAGAGAATGGACAGTGACACTGCAAAAGCACCCAAGGCAATGATGAGACTCGAAGACTTTCGCAGAGCCCTTTTATCTGCTATTACAGCAAATCCTGATCTTGCACATCTTGAGCTACCACCAGATTTCCATGAAGAAGTTGACGGAGAGACTCATGCCGGACAACATGTTGACTTGGTTCAGAAAAAGGCACTTGCAGCCAACGAGATCTGGAAACAGACAGGGACTAGTAGTATTCCCAGTCTGACAGCACCAGTGGGAAACATCCATGCACATATTGGCATAGTGTTGGATCATGTTCTTCCAGGAATCAAGAACGAAGATTCCCTCTTTAGTCTACTACCCTGGGGTATCAAGGAAAGCGGATTTAATCCTACGAATTCCTTGATCTGGATCCATAATTTGCGTTCTTATGATGCTGCGTTCCTGCTCCAGCAGAAGATAATGCCTATCAGCACAGCAGAATTTGAAGTCCCTCGTGACTTTAATCACGACCTAGTGCGACAAAGTCGGCTGAAAGTCATAATAATGTCCGGATCTTTTAACCCGGACATTTTGGTCCCCAAGGATTCTCCCAAAATCACTGTTGATATCGAAGGGTTTGGTCTAGACTTTTTTCTTGAGATCAATTCTCAACGCATCACCCGGATTTATGCACAGTCACCTATCTCTATACAAAACCTACTAGGGAATAAGTGGCGAAATTCTCGGCAGATCAGTCTCCTTTTCAGGTTTGCCGCGCTGATTACAGGAACGCCAGGGATCTGGGCTGGTTTTCAGACTGCAGCAATTACAACCACTGAGATAGTCAGACTGTATTCTGACGAAAGACTTGCAAGCGCTGAGGGAAGATAAATCACAACATTAGATACTCTCAGCTCCAGCATCCGGTTCTGGCTTTACTCAAAGGGATTTAAAAAGCATGAAGACATCATACGCCTCCAAGAAAAAGCGTCAAGCTTAGCTGAAGCGCTCTTGATGCTGATGACGCTACTTCCCTGCCGGCCAGCACACATCACGGGCAGTTCCCAGAGGCAATCAGTAAAGCCAAGCTTGATTAAACAAAGGGGTATTTTTGAAAAGGACAAGCTTGAACATATCAAATGTTTGCTTGTTGAGCTCAACCCACAGTGGTTCCGAGACGGGACCTACTCGAAGATGGCGCATTCTACCCTCGAGAAAGAGACTCACGTCGACGACCAGGATGCTGACCTTGAGGTGCCCGAGGAGCAATTGCATGAAATAGAAAAAACTCTCACGCAGTTCCCTTCAGATGGGTTGCTACAGGACTCTGCTGTTGAGGCTGCTAAAGAAGCTAGAATCTGGCAGGTGCTGGACACCGAGAGGCATCTTGCCGAACACCCGGATGTTATTCTTGAGATAGACAAAGACGAGCTTCACAAGGCCGAGTATACTCGGTTATGTGCTCCATTCCAAGGCTTATCGCGAAAACCTAGTAGCCCCAGAACCCGGAACATCATCGTATCGGAGCCAGTCTTCAAGACACGAATGCAATTGCTAAACGGCGGTCGCCATTTCAACGGATGCAGTAGAGGAGATCAAAGAATCGATATTTACCTGCCAATCAATATTATCGTCTCTCTTAAACTGACAACCATCCAAAGCAGGGGTTTCTGGTTCGGGCAGAACTCAACGCTAACGAAAGACATCCTCATTGCTGGGCCCAAAAGGCTCTAGATAGTGATACAGGTGCCCGTCTTGCGATTTCAGTCACCAGAGAAGAAGACGGCGAGTCTATCACTACTTATGCAACAAACAATGGTTCTTGGGCTCCATATAAAGCCAACACATTTGTGGATTGGCTGAATGGTATTGACTATATACAAATTAGCCAATCGCCCCGGAGATATTTACATTTCCAACCATAACTGCTCGAAGGACTGCCGGAGGAACTAAAGTACTTTGTTAATGGAGGCTATACGGATGAAAAGGGGGGTAGATTCAAGAATGTCTATAGGAAATAGAAGCATGAATGTTTTTTTCAGATAATACCAACCAACCTACCTTATGTTTCTGCAAATGTTATTATTTTTACAAAAAAAAAAAGAAAAGCATATTCTGATTGATTACATGTATAAACTACAAAGTGTCCACAATCAAAGATAGTAGAACCATGCTGTCCCCTTAGACTTCCTTTAAAAAAACATTCATTAGATTTTATATGCCAAAAGACTAGCAACTGAAAGGCAAGGTGGTCGAGTGGTTAAGACGTAAGACTGTATGTGTTATCCCGCCTTTCTCTGATCGAGAAATTATTGTACTAATTCCACTCCAGTGAATCCTAAAACGGATGTTATCTTATCCCTTCGGGGTCGCGCGTTCAAATCGCGTCCTTGTCGATTTCTTTTTTTTTGGCAGAACTAGTTCAGAATGATGGCGCATCGCCTGTCTGCTGTCGTGTGGATCATCGGAACTGGTTCCAATGGAAAGGGGCCGAATGCCAGACTGACACAGGATCCCTTGAGACTGCTGAGTGCACGGCCAACGCTACAGGTAGTAGGTCATTTTCCCAGGCAAGCAAGGACAACGAAAATAGTAGTAGACATTATTCACATTGATAGATTATCACTAGACTAGATGAGCAAAGAACCCACACCAACAGAACATGGAAAGAAATGAATTGGGGTATCCATAAGAAAACAGGCTAGCATGTAGTACAGAATCCAGACGTGATCACCATGGCCAGTCCGGGACACCGCCCGGAAGCCATATTTATAACTCCTCCACATATGTACAGAGTTCCAAGTATATACCCATCCCCCCCTCAACCTCTCATATACTCTCCGTGAATCGACTCCCCCGGCTGCCATCAAAGCTCGGATGGCTCCGCCCGAGCGCATCCGGCCGCTTGGGCATTGTCGGAGATAGAGCTCCGGGTACAATGACCTGGGAGACGATACGCGGCCCGCCAGGCTCATTGGACAGACTGGCGCTGGCCGAGGTCACTGGCGTCCGAGCCGGCGATGGTCGAAACACTAACTTGCCCCCCGATTCCTCCGCTTCTCGGGTATAGCTGGCATCCAACGGCATGCCATACGGGGTGGTAAGAGGCGGTTGCGTTACTGGCGACCGCGGCTGAACAGGCGAGCTCGGAGAAAATATTGTACTGGGCTCAGATGCCGTAGGCGATCCCGGCTCAAAACCACCACCGTACCCGTCCCCTCCTGACTGCAGCACTGAAGGGATTTTCCGGCCGGAAATCTTCTGGAAGCCACGCTCGCTGGGTTCAGAGCTTAGGGTACTATCATCGGTGCGCGTCGTCATGTGCGATTGGCGCCATCGCTTCATGAACGCCGGGGCAAAGTAAGAGGCAGTAAACAGAGGGTCATCGCTGGACCGCCGCGACGCCATCTCCGCTGAGCGTGGGATAGATCCTTCGGCAGTTCCGGTCGTGTCCGGCTCAGGCAGTGCATCCCCAGACGGGGGCAGGATGTTCTTCCTGCGGCGCCGGAGCAGCCAGACGACAAACACGAACACAAACATAGCGGCAGCCACGCCACCAACTACGCCGCCGGCGATCTTGCCTTTAGTCTGGGTGCTAATGGACCCTGACCCTGACCCTGACCCGGAGCTAGAGCTAGAGCTAGAGCTGGAGCTGGAGTTGAAGCTGGAGCCTGAGCTTCCCGAAGAGAATGAAGTTTCCGAGGCAGCTTGTCCAGTAGCAGTTCCCCCTAGTCCTCCAGCCCCACCATTCGAGGCTGTACTCCAGGTGCCATAGTACGAGTCGGTTGAAGTGGGTTCGGACGAGAGGATAGATGTCGTTGCAGAGCTTGTCTGGGACACAGAGGACGTCGTTGTGGATTGAGAACCGTAGCCGAATACAGCACCGGAGCTGGAGGCCGTCACTTGACCAGCGTTTTGTGTCGCACCCGTATTGGAGTCGGACAACGCGCTCGACGGTTTGATAGATGTTGAAGAGGGGAGAGAGGTTGTGGTAGATCCGAACAATGGAGTCGACGTCTTTGATGAGGCGGGGGCGGACGAGGGCGGGGCAGACGATGGTTCAGATGTACTTGTCACTGCTGGCGTATCCGCAGTGGGAGAGGAATATGCAGGAGAAGCAGTCAGGGGTACATCAACCGATATGGTAGCGGAAAGTGACAGGCTGAAGGAGTCTGACTCGGTTGACAAGCCGGTTGTTGCAGGCACGGTCGACTCGTCAGATATCGTGGTCGGGGCGGTTGCCGATGTACCGGAGCTAGTCTGCGAATCGTTATCGACCACGTTGATCACAGTCGCAGACACCGTAGTCTGGTCCCCTGTGGCTGTGTCGGATTGCTGTCGCTTTTCGAGCAATTCTTGGCTGTCATGCACCTCTTGCTTCTGCATCTCAGGGTTCGGAATTAGCTCGTTTTTTAACCCAGCTACGACCGTCTCGTGGGATATCGTTGCCGGGGTATCGTGGTCATTGTCGCGGTTCAGCCCAGTTTCGCTATAATATGCCGATTCCAGTTGGTATTTCCTCCGCATTACCCTATTAAACCGAGTGTGTCCTGTGCCATGATGGGCCATCCTGGTAACATCCACGTCCGGTCGTTGAAAGCGATTTCTGCTGGATATGGCGAAAGTAAGCGCGGCGATTGTGGACCGCAACTTGCCGATTATCAAGGAAAGATATATGTGCAAAGATCTCGAAAATAGAGCGATAGACTGTGAAGTGAAGGAAAGGTGTCTGCCTGCACGACACGAATGCTGACTGCAAAGGAGGGCGGTAATTAAGTCGTTCGAAGGCGACTGGATAGTAAACACGGACTCAAGGAGCGTAAAGAAAGAGACGATAGTCGACTTCTTAAAGATGGTCAAAGAGCGACGCCGGCGGCGAATAAATTAATCGAGTGTCGAAAGAGCGACTGCGGTAGAGTTGAGCTGATAAGGACTTCCACGTCTATCAGAAGCCTCCAAATCGTAGCGAATACCAAGGAGCGGACGTCAGCTGGAATACACAGCCGACAAAGGTCAAGAAACTAGTAGTAGTAATAGGAGAAAAAGAAGAAGAAAGACCGAAAGGCATAGACAGAAATCTATTCACCAGGGCAAGACACCCGTCAGCATCGAAGCAACATGCAGCGCATCCACCACTTAACTCGCAAAATCGCAATTGCCATTACATACCTGCAAAAGAAAAGACAAAAGAAGAAGAAACGACAGCGACAAAATTTTTTTTTCTTTCTATATCGAACTATCCGTTTTCGGGCCTCGCAGGTAGATAAAATCTTCAAGCCTCTGGGTCCCTAATCCATACTTGCCGAACAAACAAGTGAATTGAGCGAAAAATGCGCGCCGGTCGAAGGAATTAATATCACCACCCTTCTCCCTCAGGGTCCGTCAGGTACCAGGTGGTGATTACTGGGTGAATTTGTATGCCGTTTCCACACTTGACCCTCCCACCGGGACAAGGATCCACGCTTAGACCAAGGTTCCGGCCCCGGGACTGGTACCGTTCTTGCTGGCTCTGCTTGGTCCGCCCAGAAATCGTCTGCGTGGTTCGGTTGGGTCCTTTACGGCATCAATTCGCTCCGGACGGGTTTTTCCGCTTGCTCACGGGGTTGGTGGGTGTGTTGAAAGGATGAATGGCGGGCGTGGTCAAAAGATTCCCCGTCAACAGGATCCCGTCTGCTGCCTGCTTGCTACCTCCGGGGACAATTGGGGAGGGGGGAAGAAGAGAAAGGGGGGAAGGGGAAAGGAAGGTGGGGAGAGGGCAAAGAGGGGAGGAGGGGAAGAGAAGAGAAGAAGATAGGTTAGGGTAAAAAGGTGGTGATCGAGGGCGACGAGGGGAGGGGGCAGAGGAGCAGGTCGAGGGAAGTGAGAAACAGAAAGGGAAGGGAAGGGAAGCAAGCGAGCAAGAGAGACAGACGGTCGAGACAAGCTAGACTAGTTGGTCGTTAGGCAGTCCGTCAGTCCGTCAGTCGTATCTAGTGGTAAATGACCCGCGTGGGCAGCATCGATCAGGCCAGGCCTAAGAATAACAACCGCCGGGTCTTAGACCTGCAGCGTCACTAAGGCACGGTGGGTGCCGTACCGTCCCATCCCGGTCCTGTATCACGCCAATCCGGACTCGGATGCCAACGCGCCTTTCTCACTTGATTCATGACTGAGATCACGTAAGTAGGCAAGACAATAGTGAGATGATTCCTTCTTCCGCTGCCTGGGTTGATCGAGATTTTGCGACGGGGGAAACGGGAATTATACCCGACCGCGAAAATGCCATGATTCGCCCGTCGAGCTGCAGCTCCCATGTACCCCGTCCGGAGATGGTAGCAGCCGCAGCCCTCATCCTTGTAGTTGGTACGTGATAGTCCTTCCCTACCTACATATACATTATGTACATGATTGACCTTTGCTTTTTTTTCTTGCTGGTTTGTGCCGCCAGTTCTCGCTGGCAGACATGCATGCAGGTGTCCATACGCAGTCTCGTACGACCGATACAGTACGATAGACCCGACCCGATTTGGGGCATCGAATCATCGTCATTGGCCCGGCGCCCTGCCCGAAAGGGGGGTAGCCAAGCCTGAGTTTAATAAAACGCCGGGCGCTAAGTTTCATTAGATGTTTGTTTACGCTGGACAGACAATTTAACTAGACCACGCCTGTTAATTAGAGGCCCGGCTGCAATATCATCCCGGTGCCTATCATATCCCATCAACCACGGTTCTGTCCCGTGTGAGGGCCGTCTGGCCATTCCATTTCCTACAGCAGGACCTGGGGGTGTGGACGACTAATGTCCATACCGAGCCATCGTGCATGCAGGTCAACCCTGCAGACAAGGACAAAGACCACCATTGGTCCATTGCAATCCTGTCTATTGCTGATGCTGCATGCACTAGCACGAACCCAACAAGGCATCATCATCAATACCTGCCTAGTGCCTACGTATGCCGTACGGAGTACTAAATACTATGTAGATAAGCCCGAAATCCGACCCCAACGACTAACGACAGCAACACCACAAATGATAAGGAACAGCACAACATCCACACGGCACATGCATCATCTAATCGAGAACACAGGTTATTAATCTGCTCCACGGAAAGTCCGTCTGGAGTCTAGACACAAGACACCCACAACGGCCTGTTCCCGAAGTTCTTCCCAGTTCCCATGCAAGGGACCTCGTCTCCCGTAACCGCTACTACGGACTAGCCGCCGCAATGTCACCACCACCACCCACTCTGCAAGGTACGCCCCATCTGAATCAACATCCTCCACCCATGAGCAGGAACTAAGTAGTTTAGCGATGCACTACGATGTGTACTCCATAAGCTCACTCTTATTATCCCCCCCAAAGTAAGTCCATCCTCAAGTCAGCTTATGGTCCTTCCACCACCACCAAAGGGGGAAAGGG